TAGAAAGTGATAAGTATTATCAAATAACACACAATTGATTTACGTCTCTAGAACAAATGAATTTGTTACTTTTGTGTCGAATCAAAGTCTTACAGGTGGCGTTGGTCAAATTAAGACGCATGAAATGTAGAAGAGAATGTCTCTCTCCTGCTCTACACGTGGTAGCGCTACTATAGATAAGTGGCGATTCTTTCCGACTTGCCCTGTGCAACAAAATGTAATTCGGTGGTGTATATCACCAAATGTTAGAAAATTTGGGGAAATTTATATAACAGAAACCAATAAACCATCATAATAATTATGAAGAAACAAAATAACTATAATATCTCTTACTTTCAATCCAATACATATAGAAATAGAAAAAAATGCTTTCAAAATGTATACTATTCAAAAAGGCTGCTGCACAAAATCAGTAACATTTTTTTAAACCAACGTCTTCAGACATTATTATTCAGTTAATTATATAAATCAATACTTATTTTAAATACCTTCACACATACTACTTACCTTGAATTACGACACCCCAGAGAAACAGCTACAAGTAATAAAAGCACTGAGTAAACAATATTTTAACGTATACTTTGGATTTGTCGAAAATTACTAAATTATAAGTTGTTTTGAGGGTAAAAGCATTTAAACGTTTTTCAAAATACGGAACTTTGAGCTCAATTCCACAGAAAACCCAATGTTTACCTGGAACTTTATCAGGTGTCATCTGAAACACTTATTGTAATAATGTACACAATTCTTTTTCTTGTTCTTTTTCTTCTTCTTTTACTTCTTCTTTTTCTTCTTCTTCTTTTTCTTCTTCTTCTTTTTCTTCTTCTTCTTTTTCTTCTTCTTCTTCTTCTTCTTGCTAGCTTGAATATCTATTTTTTCTTTTTGAGAGAGAATCCAATTTTCACTCGCGTATAGGACTACTGGTGTTGCCATTGTTTTATAGAATATTAACATTGTACCTTTTCTGGTCTTCTTAATGTTCTGTGTAGCGTACCGCATGAATATTGGAACTTCTGCAATTTTTTTTTACATCTTGGCTCCGGTCGTAACTTGTATCGCATACCACATAATTGAAATGTGATACTTGTTCTATGGTTCGGTTTTCCAGGCATATCTTTGTTCAAATTGGATAAACTCCTTTAAAAGCCATGTTTTTTGTTTTGATATTTTCATGTTATAATTTTTGCACATTAGATTTAGTTGATGAAGTGCCATTTGGAGATCATTTTCCTTTTCTTACATAATAACTTGGTCATCAGCAAATAGCAGAGTATTGATATAATTATTTCCGTTCATTCTGATCCCTGGTTTTACATTGAATCTTTATTATATGAGAATTATGTTTAGAAGTCTGCAACCATGTTTTAATCCTTAGATAGTTTAAATGGTTATGATTGATGTGAATTTATTATTTATTTGATTCTTTGTATTTTTCTATAGACTTTTAGCTAGATTTATTAAATGTTTTGGAAAGCCTATTCTATTCATTATGGCCCATAATCTTCTCCTGTTTACTCGGTAGAAGGCTTTTTCAGAATCAATGAATACAATCTGCGTGTCTAAATTAAACTCTTCTTTTCTATATTATTTGACTCAATATAAAAGCATTATCTGAGTAGGATTTTCCCTTTCTGAAGCCATTTTATTCTTCTAATAATATAACTTCAACTATCGTCTTAATCCTCTTTTGGATCATATTACTGTATATTTTATATGGTGTGTTTAAGAAGCTAATATCTCTATATTTTCACAGTTACTTCGATCCCCCTTTTTAATCACAGATATTATTAGGACTGTTTGCCATTCTTCTGGTATTGTTCTTCTTAGCCAACATTGATTGTATACATGTAACAGTCTTAAATGGAGAAAAGTGCTTCCATATTTTAGTAATTCTACGTTTATATTATCTATACAAGTAGCTTTTCTACATTTCATTTCTTTTAATACTTGTAATAATTTTTCTATTGTTAGTGGATCAATATTATCTTTCTTTTGTTCTCCATGTTCTTCCTTTTCTTCCAGTGGGTTGAACCATAGATTCTTGTAGTGTTGTAGCCATTTCTCTTCATTTATACCTTTCAATTAAACGGAATCTTTTTTTCTTTTTGATTGAGTTGTCTTATAACTTTATAGGCTAGTACTTGCTTCCACTGAATATTATTTTCTGTTTTATTTATGAAGTGATCCCACGCCTCCAGATGTGTTATATGAGGTAGCCTTTTGGCTTCATTTCTACAGCAGTTATATTTTTTTTAGTTTCTTCATTCTGTTTTTAAAGATATTTCAAGTATGCTTTCTTTTTATCTGTCACTTCTTCTTTAAGTGGTTCATTCCATACTCTGTTCATTCCATACTTCGCAAACTTGTCATTCATATAGTGCTAATTGTAATCTTTGAGATGACATAAAATTGGTTTTACTGTATAATTTTTTTTTCAAAACTTACTCAACTGTATTGCATTTAAAATTTTTCACGCTGTTAATATGCACATTTTGATGGATTTGTAAACACTATCTAATTATGAGTGGAAGTTCTTTGAATGGCTTCTAATTATGTTTTTCGAAAACTCACAACTTTTCTGTGAAAAAGAGCTGCAAATTTTGAATTTACAATAACGCTTAAACGCTTTTCTTAAATTTTTCGATGCAAATTGCCGTTTAGGACAATTTTACTCTTCTTTAATATTTCGGATCCACTATTAGTAAATCTAAAAAAGGAGAAAATTTCACAAAAATGTAATTTGGGTGGCGATAAATGGAAATGTATGTGGAAAGACAGAAAAGCGTGGCCAGACTAAAGAAATTAAAAATCTAACAATTACTAGAGTATCTGTGCCATTCTGTAGCACCACTAGTTATAAAATTTTTCTCAATTTTTCGTCTTCCTGTTATACGAGGTAGTGCAATAAGTAACGCAACACATTTTTTTCTGAAAGAAGGTTTGTTTGATTCAGACGTCATTCTTCATGACATTCCCCGATATTTTGTATAGAAAACCCAATTTTTCACCATGATCTCCGTTCAGTGAAAAAAAGTCAGGCCTTACGCCCCCTTAAAGTGAGAGCCTGTGCGCCTGCATTCTACTGGTCTGTGTCGAACCCAGCGTCGTGCTGCATCAATGACTTCCCCTCCATTCGCGTAGTGCTCTCCGTGGAGTGCCTCCTTCATGGGACCAAGCAGATGAAAATCACAAGGTGCGAGTTCCGGGCTATAGGGTGGATGAGGAAGAACGGTCTACTGAACTTTTGTGAGCTTCTCCCAGGTACGCAGGCGTGGTGAGAGCTTTAAATTGTCGTGGAGGAGAAGTTCGTTTCGAGTTTTGTACCTACGAACACGCTGAAGTTGTATGTTCAATTTCCTAAGAATAGCACAATACATATCACCGTTTCGTTATGGTCATCGAGTTAATCGTTTCACCATGAAGAAGGACATGGAACAGAATAACTCCTTTACAGACCCAGAAGAAGGGAGCCATAGCTTTACCATCTGAGAGCATCATTTTAATTTTGGGGGGAAGAAAGTGCGATTTAAGCCTTTTTTGAGATTGGGCGTGTCACCACTCTATTGATTGCCGTTTTGTTTCGTGTTCGAAATGATAATCACATCTTTCATAACCTGTGACACTGTTTGACAAACATTGTCACGATCTGTCTCATAACAAGCAAGCAAATCCTCACAGATGGATCTTCTTTGCTCTTTACGTATGGTCTTCAGTTATGCATCCAGGAACCCAGCGGGAATATTGCAACCGGTGAACAAATGCGACGACACTACTAACAGAGAAGACAAGTTGAGCACCAAGATGTTTGATTGTGATTCGTCGAGCATCTCGAATAAGTGCGTTTGCACGCTGCAACATTGCATGAGTCACAGCTATGCACGGTCGGACGGCACGCGGGAGATCAGACAGCTTTACTTTGACTCGAATGATGACACACCTCTCTCCCAACCCCTCACCGTGCTTTTGTCCACTGCCAGATCGCCGTAGACATTCTGCAAGGGTCTATGAATATCTGATATGATATCGAAAAGAAACTCAATAAATGCCCTTTATTTGGAACGCACCTCCGTTAAGGCAGCTCCACACATGCGGCATTCGGCGAAATCCGAGCAACGGCTCGTCGAATCCCGAGTGATGTGGACAGGTTGCTCGCTTTTTGCCGAGCTTCGAACGTTTGGTATTCGCCCTCCCCACCTCGTGTCGGTATTTAGAACACATCAAAGGGAGCGAACACTCGCCGAACACATCAGTCGTGCGGAATTGGGTGAGCAGTAGCTCGCAGCTCGGCGAATGCCGAATCTGTGGAGCCGCCTTTAGAGACGCAATTTTGACAGCTACGAATAGTGCTGTCACCTATCTGAAATCAATGAAACTGTAAGAGACGAAGCGGGAATATTTAAATATTTTTGCAACAAATTTTCAATTTAAAAAAAAAAAAATTGACCAAAAAAAGTGTGTTATATATTGTTGTATGTTATAAAAGTGCATTATATATTGAACTCATCAGATAGTATGAAATTATTACTTTAAGAATATTAAAGACGAGTAAAACCTCGTCCTATATGGAAAGTTCTGTGAATGCGAAATTTGAAGCTCTTTTCCCCGAAAAGTGTTGAGTTTTGGAAAAATTTCCGGAATTAATTTTTTCAGCTGGTTTGTGGGACATTTATTTGTTTTTGTTTTTTGTAGTTCATAGTTAATCCTGCAATATTCCTGGTCCTGTTTAACTCTACAACAATCTTTAAACGTCTATCTGGTTTCCCGCGATACCTTTATCTGTTGAACTGTAGGATTGTACGAACCATTCTGTGGTAAGTCTCGAATTTAAGATTTTTAACCACCTGTACGTCTCTTACAAGCTTTATTTGATCGATTGGTATGTGCTCAATTTCGTTGCGTGTGATCTGGTTTGGTGACTGCCATGTCCATCCAATCCGTGAGTTCTTTTTGAAGAATGTGTTGATTATTTTTAATTTTTACTCGTGTGCGATCTGCATCAGTCTTTCTCGTCTTCCGTACTCCAAAACCATCACCTCCGTTTGTTTCTTCTTCCCCCAGAGCTCTGTCCCAAGAATGTCCCTCTCCCGTAAGCCTGTTTCGCTGTTGAAAGTGCCTATAACCAGATTGGTTGGTGATTTGAACTTTTCTAACGTAGTCTCCAACTGTTCATAAAATTCCTCTAGTACTTGTTCGCTGCTGGCTTCTGTGGGAGCACGTACTTGAATGATTGTTACTCTGGGGCGTTTTGTACTTATGACTAATGTCAGTCTCCTCTCTGAAATACCTACTATATCTCGTACCGTGTGTTTTATATTTTTTTCAATAATGAAGCCTTCTCCTTTCTGTCCGGTTGTTCTTCTTTTGTAGCAGAATAGATTACCATTCTCCTGTTCTGTTATGGATTCCTCTGTTTGTCTTACGTTGCTAAGGCCTAAACTGTCATTTTTTTTGTTTTAGATCTTGATACAGTTCTACTTCCCTTTCGTATGTTCTGAGGGTTCTTATGTTTAAGGATCCTATGGCAATGCGCCCGATCGCTGTTACTCGGCTGAAAGACACCGGAAACTGCTTGACTCATAGTAGTACGCAAACCCACAACTTCATTTTTTAGTGCAAAGTTTACTGGTCGTCTTAAAGGGAATGCTTTGTTACATTACGACAAAAATTTGTGATCGTTTGTCGGAATGAGGGGTGGTCGTCTATAAGGGGATAAACGTGCATTGGCCTTACGGAATCATTATTCCGTTCCATAGAAAAGAGATCTCGATGAGTGGTCGTCTTCCTAAAGAGGTGGTCGTGTCAAAAGGTTCCTCTGTATACGTTTTGAGTTGGCATTGTCTTTCCGTTGATGGGTTCGGTTTGGCGCATGCGCAGGCCTTTTTTTTCTTGTGTCCCCTCCACAGTAACTCTGTGAAGAAGGGGAATTTATTCTGTTTCAATTTTTACACATTTTGCTACTGCCTTGCGGCATAAGCAGCTAGAGGCGGGGCTTTTTCTTACAATTAATTTTACATTCTAGACCTAAAGTTAACTTACTAGCACTTTGGCATTACTAACTTACACTAAGATCAGTTTTGTTATACTATATTATATATACTACGTAAATTGTTATTGTATGGGTTGGTGAATTTGTTTTTTTCTACGTTCACACGTCATTCATACTAGTTTAATTATATACATAACCATTCATTCGCACGTGATGCGCAGGACTTGGAGTACGGGCTGAACGAGAGCCGGCGCGACCGCATCCTGCGCACGTACGTGCGCAACGCCTACTTCTTCCACCTGAACGAGATCTTCTCGACGCTCAAGAACGAGTACACGGACTGGGAGCGGCCGGTGCAGAACCCGCTGTCGGTGCGCGACTCCACGCTGGAGGTGCTGAGCGACGGCCACACGGCGGCGCCGCTGGTGCGCGTCGGCTACCTGCACACGCTGCGCGGCGGCCGCACCTACTTCCTGCACTTCCAGCACCAGTCGGGCGAGCGGGACTTCCCGCAGGTGAGCACCGTACCTGCACCAGCGGTAGGCGGCGGAATTCGCGAGCTCAGAGCCTTCTGCTGGGTACCATTTTAAATCATTGCCGCGCTCGGAAACGCGAAATAAACTATCAAGCACCGAGATAACCTGTGGCCCATTTCAACGCGTAAATGTTTTTGGGGATCGCGCAGCCTTTTCATCCGTAAGCACTAGATCTTCAATAATACATAGTTACACATATGCAAAGGTAAACTCATGGAACGTTACACACTTGCAAAGCTCCACACACCCCATTCATTACCGACAACAGCGAAGTGGTTTGGAGAGGATTCAGGAAAATTTTTACAATCTTGAATGTAAAGAGTCCCTAAATTTTGTAGACCGACAATTGACACACTTCACAATACACAACAAAGCACCCTAATAAATTATTTATGGGACCCCTTATCTTCAAGATTGTACTAAGACAGTCTAATTCGAATTGCACAAGAGGATTCAGGATAATCATAAGGACATGCCATAAGGCACAATGTCGAAATATCAACTACAGAAAATATAGTTGAGAAAAGTTGTTTGCGGTTTTTAAGGACACAATCATGTTTTTGACGGTTAGAAAGCAAAAGTGAATTTTCTACGCTATTTTGTTATTTTTGGTATATTATATGTCTCAATAAATTTTGCGGGGTTAGAAAGACAAATTACGTGAACATTTCAAATGTATAATTGTGAAGGATTGCGAAGTATCGATTCTTCTAGACGAAATAAATCGATTTGACTACTCGCTCGTTTAAAGAATACATCGTCCCGAGAGGTAACCCATTCGCCCGGGCCCCCGCGCGGCCCCTGTTTATAGGCCCTGCGAGATGCCTCGCTGTGAATCCGCCTGCCATTCCAGGCCGCGCGGGGTGCCCGCTGCATAAGTGACGAAGGGCCGCCCTAAACCGCGGGACCTTTTACCCCGGCCGGCGGGGCGGGCGACCGCGAGACACTTTAAAAATTGAATTTCCATTAAAATTCCGGCCCAAAGAGATTTGCGCCCGCGCTAATTGTGTTAAAGCTCGTTGAATATTTCCGTCTCCCATCCATTATTCTGCGCAATTCCTCCCACCCGCCCCCGACCCACCAACACGTCCGCCTGCACGCCCGTCCAACCACCTTCCCACACCACCCACCTACCCACCTCCGTCAGCCCGCCCCGCTCCGGGACGTGGCCAACCATGTGCGGGAGTTACGTGCTGGCAGGTGAGATTCCTTGTTCTCTTTATCGGGACGTGCGTAGGATAACTGATAAATACTAAGTCTTTTTATGAAATATTATTGCCATCTATTGTTAGAATATGTCGTGATTCAACGCATCAACTACTTATGGTAATTCGCCTTGTGGATGTATTTATAGTAGGATGTATGAGATATACTTTCCCAATTGTAACATGACATCGGGTGCAGACCTCTACATCCATTTTCTGTGCCCATTAAGCTATTTTAGAGCGGGGCACCGCCGCAGATGGAATTAACTCTACCCCGCTCCCCACTGGCCTCCCAATATGTTGGGTTTTAGAGCATGAAAGACGAGAGTACGGGGCAGAAGGTGGTCGCGCGCGCAGTGTGGCCCGTTAGTTCTGGCACTGCTCCTGCATTCGCCCGTTAGAATTCTCTTTCAAAACGCGACTGCATTCTATCCAGCTATCTAATTAGTAGTTAAAACATGCATTTGGACCCCAGAATCTACCAATGATACGCTTGTGCGGCAGCATTTTTTTGTCACCAAGTCATCTCATCCGGTTTTGAATCTAAGACGATTGCGGAATGTTCAAGAGAGAGGTAACGGACTTCCCCCTCACTTATATAGGAAAAATGCGCAGTTCCCATTTATAATATGTATGCATTTGACATTTCAGGTTCGGAAAAATACTACGCTTGCCAGCTAATGTTTAATACAATACGTCCATGTAAATTCACGAAAAGTACTGGTCTTCCCAAAAGCAGCTTTTGTTTTTTAAACGTGCTGGATTTCCCGTCCACATAAAATTTGGCATGGGATCCCGGGAAATATCTCCAAAAGCGTTGGCGTTGAAAAATTGCGTTTTAGGAGATTTCTCGCGGGGTGTCAATCTACTCCTTGCCGCATACGACAATGCACACGAAGAATAGTGACATTTTGCTGAAAGAGTTCGTCATAGGGGGTGTTTACATAATGAGCTTTGCACGTAAAACTAGAGGACCAACGAAACAAATTGTTTATGATCCTCTAACATTATTTAAAATATATTTGACTATTACCTGTTACGATAAACGTGTGCAGCTTGTTGGACTATTAGGACTTGTTGGACTACAACCTATTACGATAAAAATGTGCAACTTTGTTAACTAGCCGTGTTACAGTTCATTCTGTGTAAATGTCTCCTGTTCTAAACACCTGATGCAAGACTAAGCACATGACAGATTCTTGGCAACGATTATTACTTCATTCTTTTCTCTGACACTACAAGCAAATTATTTTCCTCGTGCCCAACATTTTTATATTAAATTTTTCATAAGTGACATACTTGTATCAATATTGATGTTACAAACTTTGTGTATAACTAAAGGCAACTAAATGTCTTGATAGCTAATTACTTCCTCCCCACAGTTGTATTAATTACTTTTTTACGAGTTAGTGCGTTGGTTGTTTTTTTTATTCCACTTTTATATTCGTGAGAAATAGTAGGTTCCACATAACAGGGCAGGGCCGTGGGTTCCGCAGAGCAACCGTGTTTGTTATTTGTTAGCGCGGAGACCGACGAGAGCGGAAATCTCGAGAAGCAACCTGCGGAGGGGGCGAGGCGGCGGCGGCGGCGGCGGGTGGGGGTAATTGGGTTGTCGTCGCTCGCTGGAGGACGCTCTGCCTTCCATAGTCATTAATTATGTCGTTGGCCACGGGCCGCCCCCCCCC